TGTGTGTGTGTGTGTGTGTGTGTGTGTGTGTGTATGAGTGTGTATGCCTGGGGGGTATTGTTTTCCTCACCCCCATTTTTTGTAAGGACCACTAAAGATAATATTTCTCAGGAACCATAGCATCGATAGAGCTCTGTACTCCTCAAAAGCCATTCCAGAAGCCCCATGCCGATGGGGCTCAGCCCAGGGATGCATCCTCAAGGGAATCAGGTAGCTTTGCTTTGCATCCTGTGGCCAGTCTAATGTTTTCAGGATGTGGTCTGTGGACCGCCTGCATCAGGATCACCTGGGATTTTCTTTTTCAAGAACATTCCTGGGCCCATCCTCAGACTTGCTAAATGAAAACCTCAGTGGGCAAGGCCCAGAAATCTGCCGGTAACAACGTCCACAGGGATCTTTCCACCCCTGAAAGTGTGAGATCTACAGCCACAAACTCCTGCCAGGACCTTGCCCCAGGGCCCCTTTTAGCTGTCCTTGTAGTGGACACTTGAGGCCCATGCTCCCAGAGGAGGTTCTGGGCTGTGGGGGTGCAGGGGGACCCACAGCCAAGACTTAAAGCCCTTTCAGACACCAGGGCAGCCACAAAGTCGTGTATTTTATATATTCAGGAATAGACATGATTTCAATTGAACAAAAGATCTACTAAAAAAATAAAGTTGAAAACCATTGTCTTTGATTACAACAGTTGGAATCATTCAATAGCTAAAACTGGGGATTACGAATTCAAATGCTTGTAGGTCCCTTAGATAAGTGACACAGGTGGGTTCTGGGGAAAATTCAAGGGAATGGGCTAGGGCTAGAGGAGGAAGTGGTTATTGCCGTAAGAAAATGTAACCCTAGTATGTCCAGATCTTCTGAGTTTTCAGGAGAAGTTGAAGTTGGGCCTTATTTGTAGAATCTGGGTTTTTCCGGGACAGATGAGAGGCACAGTGGCTGAGAGCACAACAGACTCTGGAACCAGTCCTCCTGAGTTTGAATCCTGGCCCTCTCTTAGGCAAGTTACCTAATTGCTCTGGTCAGTTTCCTTATCTGTACAGCAAGGATAACAGTACCCATCTCCTAAGACTGGGATGAAAACTCAACAAGTTAATTCACGTAGAGCAGCACGTAAGCCAGTGCCAGACACAGAAGTGGCCTTGTTTAGTTATATCTGTGTCGGCTAAGTGCCCACAGCACTGTAGGTCTTACAAGACGCTCGGTAGGCTAATGGTTGGCAACCTCTGGCTTAAAGCCATTCTTTCTGTAGATGGATCCTATGTAGGATGGCCATATAATTTATCAAGTGCCGTTTAGACCAGGGCACTTTTGAGAGAGAAAGGAGGCCCTGTTACTAATTATTCCAGATGACAGATGAACAGACTGTCCCAGCTAAACTATGTCCCTGGACCTAAGTGCCATCTTTGTATATGAAAAACCAACAAGTAGCTTCTATCTGTAAACTGCTCGGTAGGTGCCAGGTTGTACATGAGTTTATAGGAGGCATCCTGTGTCACCTTCATCAACAACCCTGGGAGGCAGAGACTCATTAACTCTCTTTTTACTGGTGAGGAAACTGAAGCACACAGAGGTTAAGGGACTTATCTAAAGCCATTCCATGGCAGAGCCAGTTGGGTTGCAGAGCCTTAGTGGTACAGAGCCTTACCTGTACCACTTTCTCCAGTGGGTGCAAGGCAGTGGTAAGGACACCGAACCCCCTTTTCAAAGGGCAGCTACAATCCAGGATGGCTCTTCGCTCAGGCCACTGCTCACTCAGCATGCAGGACTGTGCCCGAGAGCAGCAGAGCAACCCGCCTCTCCCACTGCCATAGGGCTGATATTTCACAGCATCACAGAGTGTTACAAGGAGCTGTGGACATGGGGATTAAGTACCAGGTCGGTGCCAAGTGCATTTCATCAGGTCACTGCGGCCAGTTGTCAGGCAGCTGATGAGTCGCATGTGGGAGCTGCAGCTGGTGAAAGTGGATCCTGCCTAAAAGTCATCCACCTAAACCTGACACCTCTGTGGCTGGTGGGTCACCCCTGGCCCACAGACTAAAAGGACAGTTGAGGACGTGGTCCTAAGGAACCCTCTGAGAGGAGAAACAGTACTCAAATGAGGGGTGGCCCACCCAGAGCTCCAGCATCTCGGAGCTCCAGGTGTGGCCCTTTGATAAGTGCAACAAAGAATGACCTGCTATTTTGAAAGGTGTTGATGCCAGGATTGAGAGAAACACCTGGGACTATTTCAGCTGCAATGGAGGAAATGTATTTTCATAAAAAATGGAGGGAAACATGATGTTGAAAACATTCTCTTCAAACAGGGACAGCAGGGTGTTGATAATAGTCTGAGGGCAGTGATGGATACATAGATGGTCCTTATACTCTTTTAAAAAAGTTTCAGATATTCAAAATGTTTTCCACACTCAGAAATTAATGTTAGAGGAAAAAGAATACTCCAGTGTGAAGGTGGATACAAAATGCTTTGAGTCTCAAGTGTCCTTGCCCGGAAGATAAGAGCAGCTGGGAGAGTTGGCAGCCACGGGGACCCGGTGGCAGCCCAGCTTTTCTATCTGCTTCGGTGATAGCATACCTTAAAGGGATATTAAAATCTTGAGGGGGAAAAAATGCTCACTGTGTTGTCAATAACAGAGTTATTTCTGGCTCTGACCAGTGTCACTGCCACTCTTGACCGAAGTGGAAAGGTCTAGCTGGGAGGTAGGACTCAAAAACATTCTAGTCCTCACTCTACCTTGGTTTCTCCATTTGTAAAACAGGAAGACACATTTTTTCCATCAGATGAAGTGAGAAAATATCAAAGTCATTGCAGAAGGTCACACATATGACCTATGAGTTATTGCTTCCTATGGAAAACCTGTGTCTTCTGAGCTACAGAACAGATGATAAACCCAAACAGTCCAGCTGACGGTTACTCTAGGAGGCCTGTCAAGAATCCAAAGCCTCTCATTCAATATTTCATTGTATTCTTAAATGCTCTCAGTAATTGCATTATTTAGACTTTTTCTGATGTGGGCAAACTCCAACTCTGGCTGGCTTAAACAAACAGGGAATGTATTAGGAGGATCTGGAACAGCTCACAGAACTGCAGGAACCACCTAACAATCACAACGTGGTGAAGTTGAAGCATGTTCTCTGGGGAAGCCCCCTGGGCTCTTATCTCTGGTCTCTTAATTCCAGATTTCAGATTCCTTGGAGAGAGAACCTGATTGGCCCAGTCAGGTCTGGTGTCAGAGAGGTAGAGTTATATAGTTAACCTGGTCAGTGTGGGCCACCACTGTGTGTCAAACCCCCCCCCCACACACACACCAAGTAGAATTCTTTTTGCTTTGGGCAGCCACCCTGTAACCATAATATTGGTTTGTGCTATGCTGTTATCTTCCCTGTAGCTGCAAACAAATGTTTGAAGGTCAAGGGACTCCTGTAAGACAGGCCCAAGGACTGTTTGGTTTTGGAAAGGTCATCTGGCTCTGATGCCTGTGTCTGGCCAGAGTGAACCTGCCCTCTCAGGCTTGAGTTGAGAGGTTTGATCACGATTATTAAACCCAGGAGAGGAAGGAAGAGATGTAGGCATCCTTGGCCTGAGCACATGAATGCCTATCACAGGTGGTCCTGCCCATTGGAGCCCAAGGGGCGTTTTTGTTTTAAATCTTGAGTTTTACTTGGGAACCTCAGATCCTTTCAAAGAGAATGTGCACTGAAAACATCTGTGTCTCTGCAGTCCCAAAAAGAAGAAGAAAATGGATGAGGCAGGGCTGCCCTGAGGAAAGAGGTGCCCCAGCTTCTCAAGCATGAACTGCTTCCTGGTAACTCTCCTCAGAGCTGAGAGATTGAGAAAGAGAAGGAATTTCTCAGTTCGTAGGTGGCTATTAAGTCAGGGTCCTGGCCAAAGGGAAAAGGTTGAGTCACTGACGCAAAGGCCACACCTGCAGAGATGGGATAGGTGAGGGCTGGGCTAGAACTTAGAGACAGAGGCCTGCCCAGCCTCAGGACAAGGCTGGGATATGTATGTTTAATGCATATATGTTGTTCTGGGGCAGGGCGGGGCAGGGAAGGAGCAGTTGACTAGGCCTTGGCATGTGGCATTGACAGGAGAGTCGGATATATGACAGCTCTGCTTCTGCAGGGCCTTTGTGTGACAGTGTGTGGTTCGGCGGCGCACAGCCGAGCCTGGACCAGAGGGAAGGTGGGAGCTGAAATCCAGCCACACTCCACTGGCCAACCCATGAATTGGTGAAGCTGCAGAGATGCCGTATGGGCCGGGCTGGTGAGGAGCTCCTTAGGCTTCACCTTCGGTCTGGTCCCTGACAGGTGTCCATGTATAAGAACGTTGGTCTCTGTTTGGGCCAATTGGCTTAAGATTCCAGAATTACCAGCCTTCTCACTCCTGAATGACATGCCTCTACTGGTAGCAAGATAGAATTTTTAAAATGTGTCTTGAGCCCCTCTATTTCTTTAAGATTAAAGAAATCAAACGAGGTGACACCTGTGAATGCCATTTACAGTCACAGGCATACTTGATGATGAGGAAGTATTTGTCCCCAGCCTGGGAATGAACATTCTCACTGAAGACATGATGACAGAACATGTTCCATGCCAGGCACATGAGTGAGCAGTGGCAGGGCACTGCCTGTGACCCAGCCTGAGGGAGGGAGGCCTCAGGAAGAGGAGACTGAAGGCAGGACTGAGACTGGGGTGGGGTGCCTCAGGAAGGACGGTCACACTGCCGACCCTCCCTGGGAACCCTACACAAGGAAAAAGGAATGAGGCTTTTACTCCCTCAGCAGGGAGGACAGCACCAAGGGCTTTTCCCCTCCCATCAGTTCAGGATATGAGAGCAAGCGTTGCCACAGACATCTTTCCTCTGACACCCTTGAGCTCACTTACATGGGCAGTTCAAGCCCTGCCCGTGAGGAGTGTCTGCACAGTTCACTTGTGTTACCTTGATGTCATGTGCATAGTAGGGACGCCACACCTACATGTCCTCTTTGTCTCCGGGTGAGCAGATGCAGGAGCTGGAGCAGAGGCTGCAGGAGGCAGAACAGAGAGCAGAGAACGCAGAGACCCAGGTAAGAGGGGGAGAGGATTGAGAAGAGTGTGCAGGGGGGTGACCATTGGCCTTCCCAGCCCCTTCCCATGGACCCATACTCGTCACACTGATGAGCTCCTTACAGGGATGAGGTAAACCAGCAGTCATGTGTCAGAACTGCTGAACAAACTAAGGTGCATGGAGCTTTCCGTGGGCATGGATAAGTCTTTGGTCAAGGGTCAGTGCAGTGAGTGGGTGAGTGAATTAGTCCAAATAGACTAGGTTATGCTGGGATAACAAATTAAGCCTGACACCTCAGCGGTTTATCACATTTAGTTCTCACTTATGGTATCTCTCTATTGAGGGCGAGCCAGGGATTCTGCTTCACACGGTGACTCAGGGATCCAGGCTAATGGAGCTCCCCATCTTCTAGCTGGACCCTCTGGAACACACAGCCTCCTTGGTTGCCATGGTGCTTGTGCGCCAGCTCTTAAACGCTTGAGCCCAGAAATATCATGTCATTCCTCTCAGGCCCATTGGCTGGAGTGAATTCCATGCCCCTCCGACTACAGGAGGGCTGGGAATATTGGGAAGCACGTGGATATGCATTGAGCAGCACATGTCTGCCACACACACAGTTAGGTGGGAGCAGTTCCTCTCCAGAGCTGTTTGTCCTACCCAGCTCATCCCTACCAGGACCCTCACAGTTAGAGGACCCAACACACCCTGCTGTTTCTCCTTATCAATTCCTTCTCCCCCTTCCCCCCTTCCCCCAAATAAGGCTTAATCAATGGTCATTGAATTCATTGGTCCAACTTCCCTGGATAAGGGCTCTGTCTGGCAGTCATGGGCTGGGGTATCGGGAGGTATCCCCTCCCATGTTAGTGGTCATTTCACAGACCACATCCCAACTCTATGAGACAATTGGTCTTTTTCAGGTGGGTGTGATGGAAGAGAAGGTGAAACTGTCCAATCTGAAGAATGTGGGCTCAGCAGGCAGCCTGCACCTGAAGTACCAAGAATTGCTGAAAGCCGTGCAGGGCAAAGATGAGCTCATTGGCCAGCTGGAGGCACAGCTGGAGAAGCAGGTAAGGGCACCAAGCAGCAGAACACCAGTGCCCTTTGCAGCATCGGCACCCATTGGCCCCAGCTTCTTGAGCAGAGCCCCTCTGCTTGACCCTCCAGAGGCGGGGAGCTTGCTCCTTCTTGAGATTGTTCTTTCATGTGGAGATTTCATTATCAGAATACGGCACATTAGGCACCAGACGGGATACAGTGAGAAAAGGATCTTGGAGGCAAAGTGATCTGGGTTTGAATCCCACCTTTAGCTCCTGCTGCTTTCTGGCTGTGGGAAAATTATGTAAGTCGCTGCTTCTCATTTTATATATTGATGTAATAGGGGTTGTAATACGTCAGGGCTGTCAGGAGAATGAACTCCTGTGTTGTATCAGACACAGGGCTGGTGTTTGGTAAGGAGAGCTGTCCCTTCTCCTCCCTGGCCTTGTGCCCTGCTAGCATGAGGGACACGGCACTTGGCTGTCATATCAGAGCAGCATGGAGCTAGCCCAGCAGCCTTGGTCAGCTGGTTGGCCAAAGTTTCTCAATCAACCTGAGTTGGCAGAGTCCAACATTGCTGCCTTCTCTGAAAAGTGGTGCCTCCTCTATCCTAAGCACATGGAAGCCCAGGAGAGGCCACTGCCCAGCATCCCAGCTACAATCAGCACCTTTGCTCCAGAGGCGATTGGAACATCCCCCACCAGTTCCCCATGCCCAGCCCTTCCCCTCCACAATCTCATTAACTTCATCATAATTCTGTCCCTTCCCTCTGCCATTGGCCTACCCAACTTTTCCTGGTGCCAGAGCTCCGTTATTTTCAACAAACAACCCCACAGCATCGCCAGATGACTTTTTTTTTAAATCCTCACCTGAGAACATGCTTAGACAGAGGGAGAAAGAGAGAGAGACAGAGAGAGAGAGACATTGATGTGAGAAACATGGGTCGGTTGCCGCCCTTACACTCCCTGACTGGGGATCAAACCCACAGCCGAGGTATGTGCCCTGACTGGGAATTGAACCGGCAACCTTCTGGTGCACAGGACGACGCTCAACCAACTGAGCCACTCTGGCTGGACTGGCCAGATGACAATTTTCCACGTGTACACTCCCCATGGAGGTCCCACCTAGTCCTGGTAGTACCTTCTCGCCATCATGGGCAAATTCATAATCATTCACTGACATTTCCTTTGTGCATGTGGCTTTATCATCTGCAGAGTACGATGTGTTCCTGAAAACTCATGGGAAAATAGAATTTTGACACCTGAAATATAATAAATTTCCATTGATTTTAGAGATGCCTTCTCTTTTGAGTGGTTCATAGGAGTGGCAGCATCTGGGGATTGGCGGGCAACATGATTTCTGCTGAAGCTTAGGTCAGAAAAAAAATTCATTTTATAGTAATAATAGGTCAAGATAAGACTAGAAAGAATGCTGTTCTGTTAGTCAATAGACCTGGTTTTGGTCCCAGCTGTGCCAGATCAGGGCAAGTCCTTTCACCCCTCTGGGCCTCTACATCAAGGGTCAGTCTATGGACTTTTTTTCCAAAGGGCCAGATAGTAAATATGTTTGGCTTTGTGGCCCATGTGGTCTCTGTTCCAACTAACTATTCAACTCTGCTGTTGTAGCATGAAAGCAGCCCTTGACCATATATAAATGAATGGTCATGGCAGAATTTCAATATACTTTATTTCCAAAAATAGGCAAGGTGGGGAGGGGACAGGTGGAAGGCTAGATTTGGCCTGTGGGCCAGTTTGCAAACCCCTAACCTAAATGATTTTAAGGTCCTTCCAGCTCTGACATTTTCATATTCCTATATCATTTGCACAGATGCCTTGTTTGGAGCTTATGTCTGTCATCTTACTTTTAGGAGGCAGTTTTTCCCTAGAAGTGTAACCAGAGTCGTTATTGCTGGTCTCTAAACTACTCCAGAATATCCCAGGGCACTTGTGCTCATTGTAAAACTGGTTGATCACCTGGGCCTCGAGCACTGTGCTGGGACCTGGTCACTTCATTTCACAGTGCTCCAGGAGGGAGGTGTGTCACCCCCATTCTAGACATGACATGCAGGCCCAGGGTTAGGTGCCTACAGCAGATAAGCCCCAGAGGAAGATTCAAAGCCCCAAAGCCTGCATCTCCTGACCTAGGCTGCTGTGCTTTAGATACAAACCTCCTTTCCATCACCTATGTACTCTCGATTATTTTGAGGGAATTGCTGTACTCATTTGCTAATTTAGCTTTATTTCCTGTTTTTAACTGCAAAGATAATCCATGTGTATAGTAAAAGACACAGAAAACCCAGAAGAGTATAAAATGACAACATTTTTCCTCTGTCCCCAATCCTTCGTTTCTATTCCTCACTGTTAACCACTGTTCATTGTGAACGTTTCTTGTATAGCAAAGCATAGCATCCCATTTCCATGTTGTTTATTTTGCCCTTATTTGTGGACGTTTAGCTGATTTCCAGTGTGTTTGGTTTTTTTTGCTGCGCTATCAAATTATAACTAACGATTCCTGAGCAGTGGATTTATTAGTTTAATGGTATGTACATTTAAAATGTTGACAGCCCTCCCACCTAAGGGTTGCAGGCTTGATTGCTGGTCAAGGGCATGTACCTGGGTTGCAGGTTCGATCCCCGGCCCTGGTTGGTGTGCATGCAGGAAGCAACCAATCGATGCATCTCTCTCACATTGATGTTTCTCTCTCTTCCCCCCCCTCCCTCCTTCCCTTCCTCTCTCTCTCTCTTAAAAAAACAAAAAACAAAAAAACAATGGGAAAAAATACCCTCTGGTGAGGATTAACAAAAAAAATAAATAAAAATACAATGTTGACAGATGTTACATATTCCCAAATTACTTCCCCAAAAGGCTTTGCTCATTTGTGTCAGAGGAGTTGTTTTCCAACATTCTTGACAAATTGGGACAATATCAAACATCTGAATTGTTTGATAATATCAAATTGTTGGACAATATCAAACATCTGATAGATGAAAATGATGTCTCATTTTTATCAAATTTCTTAAAATTATGATTGAGGATGAGCAGCTTTTCATGGGTTTCTTTCCCTCCTTTTTCTGTTGACTTCCTATTTACATCCTTGGTACAGTAAAGGATATAGTTCACATCCTTTGGGTGGTTTATTTCAAATTAGACCTTTGTATGTGTGTTATGTGTGTCACAAATCATCCTCCAGTTGGTCTTTTGATTTTGTTTAAGGGATTCTTTTCTTGTCAGATAGTAATTTATAGTGAGGATATAGATTCATTAATATTTTCCTTCATGACTTTTTGAGATTTCTCTTATGCTTAGGGAGGCCTTTCCCACTTTAAAAATATTAAAAATATTCATACGTGACTTTATTTTTTTCTATCAGGCCACCCCATCCAGTCGCCTGATATTTCTTCTCGGGGCTTCCCGCCTCCAATTACCTACTAAAATAGTAACTGTTGTAATGAACTAAAGGCCCTCTCTTTCTTGTAGAAGCAGATGAGAGCTGAGGAAGCAAAAATTGTTCAAGAAAAAGCTGCGAAGATCAAGGAATGGGTGACACTAAAGTTAGCAGAGGTGAGTCACACGCTTTTCCCTGGAGCCTGAATGGACATAAACATGGGGTTGCCCCCCCCCCGCCCCCCGCACCTCTCTCTGCCTCCTTCTGTTTGAGGGGCCTTAACCGACCTTCATTTTGCTGACCATCTGCCTTCATTCAGCGTAAACGCTGAGACCATTCGCTTCACTTTCCCTTCCTCTGCCATGGTTGGGTTCCCAGGGCTCCCGTATTTAAGTTTGGGGAAACGGAATGAGTCTCACTTCTCAGGGGTCGCATCAGTTCCCGCTGAGGAGCACACACAGCCCTTACCATCCACTCCACCTTCTTCTCTGTCCTCTCCATTCCTTTTAACGTTTTTAAAAATATACATACAATGTACCGTTGTAGCTGGTGTTTAAGTGTACAATTTAGTGGCATTAAGTACTTTCCCAACCATCACCACAGTCTGTTTCCAAAAGGTGTCATCATCCTAAATAGAAGCTCAGCACCCATTAAACACTGACTCCACTCCCCCCCACCCCCGCCCCTGACAGCCTCATTCCGCTGTCCACAAAACTCCATCATTTTCCTAGTTCATCACTTGCTACAGCTTTGTTTAGGAAACTCAGGACTAGAGCTACAGGGCTACTAGCAAAGAAAACCACCCAAGAAACTAAAACAAAACAAAACAAAAAACCTCTTTCTAAACACAAGGAGAAGGAATTGAAGTTTGGAAAACAATGAACACTCATTTTTTCCCCTCTGTCCTGACACATGTGACTCACACCTGTAGGGGTATCAGCTTATTTTGCCTCTTGTCCCCTTCTGTATACCTGCATCTCAGGTCACCTGCTGGACTATGACTTCTTGAGGACAGAGCTGATGCCTCCATAGTGCACAGCCCTGACCTCTTGCTAAAAGGTGTGTTGGATTTCATTTAAAAAAATGCAGCAACCATGAGGATGGATTTCATGGATATGAAGTTGTTCAAAAGAAGCTAGACACAGAAGTACATGCTGTATGATTCCATTTATACTAAGTTCAAAAATGGGCACAATGTGTGTAAGGATTCATACTTTGATGGTAAAACCCAGAAAGCAAGGAAGTGAGTCTCTTGTCTCCTAAACTTAGAAGAATGGTTGCCTCTGGGGAGGGAGGGAAGGATGTGTGGTTGGAAATGGGCAAGTCCTGGGTTGTTGGGAGTTCTGGCAAATTTCTTAACCTGAATGGTGGTCACATGAGTGTTCATTTCAGCATCATTTGTTAGGCTGTTCATCGACGTGGTATGCAGTTTTCTGTGTATGTGTATTTCACAATTTTAAAAGCTTAAAAATGAAACTAGAAAGGAAAGGGCAGGGATTGCCAAATGAAATTCTATCCCAAATAAGACTGGTTAGCACAGAGTGAGGGAGGAGCTCAGGGGCAGCCCTGTTCTTTTTCGAAGATTTGATCTTTAAAAAGGATTTTAAGCTTATTTTGAATTATATGTCTAAACCTGTAAGCTAAGTATTCTAAATCCTCCTTTTTCCTTGTGCCTAGCTTGAGATGGAGAATCAGCACCTGAAAAGCTATAATCAGCGCCTGGTGGAGCAGGTGGAAGCCCTTCAAGATGCTCTAGAAGGTAAGAGTGTGTGTGTGTGTGTGTGTGTGTGTGTGTGTGTGTGTGTTGTGTTGGATTATGGGACTGAATTAAGATAGCTCTCAATATGCCTGTTTTTGCCCCAACCATAGCTCTTCAGATGGTATCTTCAGAGAAGCTTCTGGTAGCTCCCCAGGGAACCCCAGAGAAGGATTCTGTCCCTTCAGGGCCAGGAACCCAGCTGATGAGGCAGGACAGTGGTCCTCAGGCCCAGGATGCTATGAAGGCGGCTCTGCCTGCACCTTCTCCAGTTTCTCTGCAGAGCAAGGACTCTGTCCCTACAGGGGGAAGCTCCCCGGGGGAGCTCAGTTCCATCATGGTCTGTCCTGGGGGAATATCAGAGGCCAAGACCCTTCCACCTCGTCTGAGAAGAGAAGGCTCTTCTGGCCAGCTGTGCGTGAAGACTCGCACCTCCAGACTTGGCTTGTCTTCCTGGGTTGAGGGCCTGGCCGCTGGTCAGGGAGGGTTGCTCCCTGGAACAAAGGCCTCGGCCAGGGAAGATGGCCCCGGCTGCAGCCTCACCCTCCCGAAGGTGCGAGCTCCCAGCACCCCCCATGACAGCGGCCAGCTGGCTAAGCGGCACCACAGCCAGCCCCAGGCGCGCCCTGCGCACTTCAGCCACGCGGCGAGCGTTGAGATTGGGACCCTCGCAGCCCTCCCCGGCTCCGGCCTTCCGGAGGTGGCGGCCCTAGCTGAGCTCCGGGAGGAACCGGAGAAGATGGAGATGGAGGAGCAGCCCCCAGGCGGGAGAGAGGAGCAAGGAGAGAGCCCGAAGGCGTCGGGAGCTGAGCTGGAGGAAGTGGACTTGGGAAGCAAACCACCCACACCCCCCTTGCACCGGTTTCCATCCTGGGTAAGGCCCCCGGGCGCTGGGCAGAGCTGACGAGGTGACCAGTGTTCACAGTGAACCTCAGCTCCTCAAGCTTCACTTTCATTCTCCTCTGAAGTGTGAGGCCTTTTCCACCACTACTGGGAATAATAATATTTTTTATTTCTAATTTTACTACTTGGTCCCAATTTATCTGCCCCTCTCCAGTGCCCCTCCTGGGCCACCCTCACTGCACCACGTCTCTTACCTTGCCTCCCAGGCCCTCATCTCAGGATCCCATCCCAGCCCTTCCCTCTCTCCCCCGGGTGCCTCAGCCCCTACTGCCCTGCCCCCTGAGCCCCGACCCTCTCTGGTCCTTATGACTCACCAGTCACTTAAGGGGGCCTTTGTTGTTTCTTTATCTTGAGTGGAGAAAAGAGATATGCATAAGCAAAGGCGGAGCCTGTGGGTTGCTCCAGAGCTATCAAAATCCTTAGAAAAGCTCCCCAGGCTTGTGAGCCTACTTGGGACCCAGGGACATCCAGGGGTGAGGCAAGAGTTGAGGGCAGGCATTCCCCATCTAAGGGTCTAGTACGGTGGGGTTCTTGGTCCTGGTTGAGCTACATAGGCTTTGTAGGTTGGACTGAAGCCTAGCTGTGATATAACGTTACTACTGTGGAGAAAATGTCCCAGCTTCCAAACAGCTGGCTTACAAAAGGTCATGCCCTCACCATGGAGCTCTGACTTCCTCACGGTCAACACCCCACTTCTAGGGGTGAGAGCCTGGGACCTGAGAGCTGTAAAATGGTCAGATTCAAAGACACAGGTTGCTGACTCCTTTCCCCTGGAACTTGCTTGCCCCAAGGGAAGGGTGGGGGTTAGAGAGCTGATTATCTGTTGGGCACTGATTATAGTCCAGGTGTTAAGATATTTACATTAATAATGTCATTGGGTTCTCACAGCAGCCTGAAAGGGGGGTAGTGTTACCCCCATTTCAGAGCTGAGGCCCAGAAATGATGTAACTCCCCCGATTTCCCCCGCCAGCGGGCTGAACCTGGCTGTGGGCGCAAGTCTGGCTGCCTCCAAAGCTGTGCTTTTTTCCCACACCCAGGAGGGGCTGAGGTGGGTGCAGCCCCGGGCTCTGACCCTCCCGGGACCTCTCATTCCAGGAGAGCCGGATCTATGCTGTGGCCACGTCAGGCATGCGTCTCTCCGACGTACCTCTGAGAAGTAATGCCACCTGCCGTGGTGAGTCCCAAGTGGGGTGCCCGTAGTGGGCAGGGTGGACGTGTGGGGGGAGAGAGGATTCTGGGTAACACCCAGGGCTAGGGTCACCTGGCACCCCGTTCCCTCCCTAAACCTGTGAGGCTCAGGTGAAATCACACAGCCAGGGCTACCTTGAAGGGAAAAGGGAGTTCAAGTTCAGCTCATTACCTGCTGGATGGGAATGGGCCTGGGGTTGTAGCCAGTGACAGAGCTGGAAGGGACTTTAGAGGAGGGGTCTCTCACCCCAGCCTGCTACTGGCACTGGCTTCCCCTCTGCAGTAAAGGGCTTTGGGTGGCAGGAGCCCCAGTACCTTGATTTAGATGTGCCCCTGAAGGAGGCCCATCCCCGCCACTAAGTCACGGGGCAGCCACAGAATCCCCCCAGTAGTGTGAGAGCCACGTAGAGCATGATTGGTAACTGAGTTTGGCAAGTGTGGGACTGAAGGCGGCCTTGGCTCCCATCCTGAGATCTGCCACCCAGTCTGTCGCTGCTGGGAGTGCTGTTTCCAGGAACACTGTCTGCGGCTTCCTCCTTACTCTCTCCTGGTCTCTGCTGCCCCCACACTCCTTCCTGGGCCGTGGCACTTGAGCTTATCTCATCCCTCTTCTCTGCCCCTCCAGGTTCAAGGCCTCCCTCCCTTTCGTCCCCAGGACCTTTCTCTGGCCTTGTCTACAAGAACGGCACAGTGCCGGTCTACACAGTCCTGAAGGGGGTAAGAAGTTGCTCTCCAAGGATGGGGTGTCCCCCTCCAGAGAGGCCCATTGTCTAGTTAGTGGCTGGATACAAGGGCGCCAGGGTCAGGCTCTGCACAGACGTAACTCTGGGCAGGGAGCTCAGAGTCATTGTCATGTTATTTTTATTGTTTATCTTTATCAGACTTTTAGTAGAAAAATTCTACATTACATAAATTTGAATCAACGTGATTGTGGGCAAAGTAAAAAGTTAAAGGTTAAACCTGTGTCTGCTCCACCTGTCCCCCGCATCTTGTTGCATGTGTGTGTCCCAGAGGGCAGTGGGGCTCCTTTTAGAATTTTTTATGTCTTCAAATGTATAGTCCCATATATTACTCCATAACATCCCCAACACAAAAATCCGATACAAGTGCAACATGTTTTTATATACCTTTTTTGTCTCCTTTTATTATTATTTTTTTAAAACATAACCATTGTACTTTGTAAGACTTTTTATAAAAGGATAAAAAGCCAAATGTGGAGTTTCCTCTCATATTGCTTTTCCCTAATCCCTAACCCAGAGGCAGCCATCATTCATGGCCCCGTGTTTGTTCCGTAAGGCCCTCTGCCACGTTTCCAAGTGGGTTCACATATTCTCACTGTCTCAGTTGCTGCCTCTCGCGTGGGTGCACACGTGCACACACACAGAGGGGAGCACATTGCACGTTTCATTCTACGTGTCCCTTGCTGGTTCCCCCATCCGTGTGCCAGGCCTTTCTGCCGTACCTCCCCGTCTAGGGCTGTCCAGTACCCCTCAGTCACACGCCTATGTCTACCTTAACCGGCCCTCCACTGATTGACAATTTATGTCACCTCTCTTTTTCTCTGAAATAAGTGGTGTGATGGACACCATTGTGCAGATGTATCTCTGTGCACTTGGATATGCATATTTCTGCAGGACAGAGTTCTAGGTGTAGATTTCATGGGCAGATGATATGCATGTTTTAAACTCTGACAGGTAGTGTCAGCTCATCTTCTAAAAAAACTTTACTCCACAGAGTACCCTTTTCTCCACAGTTTCACCAGCACTGAGATAATCAGTCTTTTAAAATGTCTGTCCATGGAGATGATCTCCCGTTTCCTGATCCCACACATTTTTAAAGCTGCTGTTTCACACTTGGGCCGTGGCGTGGCTTTCTGGCCCCCTAGTGGCAGGGAGTAGGGGTCACAGTGGTTCTGTGTTCAGCTGGGATGGGGTGGCTCTTGTAGGTGCCACAGAAGATGGTGTGCCTCCCACACTGTCAGCCCAAGGAGAAGCTTGGAGATGAGGGCACAGGAGTAAGGAAGGTCAGGAAGGGACAGTTGTCTATTGGGTGGCCTGGCTGGGTGAGGGCACCCATGTGCCCCGGACAGGCTGTGTTGGCCACACCCTGAGCACCTGGAGCTCGAGTGCAGAGCAGGTGGGATGGGGCTTGTTTTGCAGCCCGAGCTGCAGTGGGAACGGGGCCTGTCTTGCAGAGAGCCACACAGATCAGCACCGTGCCCTTTGTGGATGAATCCTCTGGGTCCGACGACGACTGCAGCTCTCTGGCAAGTTTCCGAACTTCAGTCCCCTGCTCGGAGGTCAGGAAGACCAGTGGACTAGGCAGCCCCCGGGCTATCAAGAGAGGTATGGAGCAGGGGAGTAGGAGGGGTGCAGGGCAATAAGAGGCCCCCACCTCTTCCCATGGGCAGTGGGTCCCTGGTGGGTGAGGAGCTAGGGGAGGCATGGGACACAGACCTCGAATCATCCCCCTTGGCCAGGTGTCTCCATGTCCTCTCTGAGCTCGGAGGGCGACTACGCCATCCCCCCAGATGCCTGCTCCCTGGACAGTGACTACTCAGAGCCTGAACACAAACTACAGCGCACCTTGTCCTACTCCACTGATGGGCTGAACCTGGGTGGGGTGAGCTGGAGGGTGGCCCCCCCATGGGGCTGAGGCGGGGAAGGGTGGGAGCTGCCTGCTGGAGCCCTCAGCATAAGACATGGGCGGCAGCAGTAAGAGGAGGGGGGAGTCCCTCAGATGGAGGAGGGGAGGGAGGGGGCTAGGGGTCTGCCACTGATGGGAGGCCATGGGGAATGGTCTAGAGGGGTGCAGTTGTGGAGTCAGGCACACACAGACCCCATGAGAAAGGAGAGGGAGCCTCATCCAACCAGGAATGGCAAGTTGGAAAGCACACTGTGGCCCATCGAGCCCCAGGGGTTTGCACATAGTACCTCGTTTTAGCTCCACGCTGACCCTGGAACCCTGAGAGCTAACATTTATTGAGCTTACAGTGTACCAGGCACCATGCTCCATGCTTTTCATGTCCTGTCTCAGTTGTCCGCACAGTCCTCTCAGGATTATTACCCCATTCTGTGGATGAGAAGCATGAGGCTCAGAGATGTGCTGTTACACGCCGGAGCCAGCAGTAAAACCAGATCTCATTCCCCAGCCCTTGCCCACACAACCAAGCTGCCCTGTCTGTATCTCCTCCCACCCCCAACCCTCCACCCCAGCCTGGCTGATGTGCCCACTCTTTCCCAGACCTCTCCCTTCCCTGCTGCCTGAGTGGCCTTCTGCCTCCTGGCTCAGCTTCAAGGGAAAGGCTGACCTCAACGGCCAGCTCAGCCCTTTCCTGAAGCCCCTCCCACCCTGACCAGACTCCCTCCTGCAGCCCCTGATCTGCCACCTGCCCATGGGCAGGTGTGTTCCCCAGCCAGTAGGACCCTCCCACAGCAGGGCCACCCATGCTTTATGTAGTCCTCCCTAAACCCTTAGCAGGATTCAGTGCTCTGAAAATACACACAGTAGGTACTCAGGTTTTTTTCTAACTGATGACAAAGCAGTGACTCAACTGGGCCACATTGGCCTGTGTGACGTCCACAACCTCAGTGATTCTGCCTCTCCGTTCACCCTTCTCCTGTGAACCCTTCCACTCCTGCAGGAGTCACTGGAGAAGTCAGGCTACCTGCTGAAAATGGGGAGCCGGGTGAAGACATGGAAGAGGCGCTGGTTTGTCCTGAGACAGGGACAGATTCTGTACTACAAGTCCCCGGTGAGACCTTCCTCCCCCAGGACTGTCATCTAAAGGACCCCACCCCATCCCCAGGATGTGTGAGGCAGCTGGAAGAGGGGCATCATGGCCCATGGGCAGAGGGCAGAGGTCTGGCAGGTGGGGAGAGGCTTTGAGCCACACACAGACCATGAGGCTGGTGATTGACTCTCACAGTGAGATGGGGCACTGAGCAGGATCAGGCAGTTCTGGCCAAGTTGGCTTGGACACTTCTTCCTTTAGAAGCCAAGTTCTTCTTTCACCTGGTTCTGTAAAAGAACTGTTCTAACTGGCGAGCCCAATGTCTCCTCCTGTCCTTCCTAACACTGTTTGGAATTAGGGAGCACTGGATGTGGGAACCTGCTTTGACGGGCTCTCCCTGGTCAGTAACCAATGTTAATGTTTTGAGGAGGGCAAAGAGGCCTTGTCTTTTGTGCAAATCTCATTGGTAGTGGCAGTCTCGAACACCTTGTTAAGAATTCTGGGCCTGGATCACTCAGTAGGCAGGCATGTTCTGATCAATTAGTGATGTCTGCAGTGGCACTGGAAATGGAAATGGTGATATATATGCCTCTTATTTGCCACACTTGATGTAAAGGATGTAGTAGAAAAAAATTAGGGGCTTTATAGCTTAGTAGTAACTCAGTGGCTTCTGACCCAATTTTAAAGCTTAATCTAAAAAACGTGAAATCTTACCATTTGCAAAACAGCAGGGATGGACCTAAAGGGTATTAGGCTAAGTGAGATAAAAGGCAAATACCACATGATTTCCCTTAATTGTGGAATCTAAAGAACAATAGAAATGAACAAACAAAATAGAAACAGACTTAAAGATGCAGAAAACAGACTGAGAGCTGCCAGAGAAAAGGGGGGTTAGAGGGCCGGGTGAAAAGGTAGAGATTAAGAAGTACAGATTGGTAGTTATAAAATAGTTACAGGGATGCAAAGTACAGCATGGGGAACATAGTAATATTGTAATAACTATGTATGGTTCCAGTTGGGTACTGAAACACTTGGTGNTTCTCTGTTCCTATCTGGGATTCTTGACTCCCTCAGCTTCCTTCCAAATGGGAAATTTTCCTCCCCTTCCCTTCTTTTCTCCTTTCTCCCTTTCAATCTCTTGACACCAAGGACTAAGTCTCCTATGGCAGGTATTTGGAACCCCCGAATTCAGAGGTAAATCAGGCTCCTCTCCAAGAAGACACCTGCCTGGCTCTCCTCTACCTTTTCCTCCCCAGAGAAGAGATTCTTTTACACCCCCCGGCTTTACCCCTTATGGAGGGAGGGGGAGGACCACCAGATGGGGCCAGGCCATGTGGGAAAGGAGGGAATAGATCTTAAGAAATGGGCAAGAGCCCTGGCCAGTGTGGCTCAGTGGTTGAGCATCGGCCTATGATCCAGGAGATTGCAGTTCAGTTCCCTGTCAGGGCACTTGACCGAGTTGTGGCCTCGATCCCCAGCAGGGGGCGTGCAGGAGGCAGCCAATCAATGACTCTCATCATTGATGTTTCTCTCGCCTTCCTTCCTCTCTCTGAAATCAATAAAAACATTTTTTTTTTTAAAAAAAGGAATATTAATTTTAAAATATATATATTTTTAAATTTAAAAAAAAAAAATCAAGGCTCAGTCTATACTTTTTGAAGCCTGAATCAGAAAGACCCCTGTCTCCTCATTGCTCCATTTAGCTAGAACCAGGATGCAGAGCCCAGGAAAGCTTGGGACTCACTTTCTCCTTTGCCTGTGACCTGGAGTAAGATCATTCCTTCCTTTACAGAGCGATATCATCCGGAAACCTCAAGGTCAAGTGGAACTGAACTCCCATTGCCAAATTGTTCGAGGGGAAGGTGCACAGACATTCCAGGTGAGCATGGTCCTAGCAGCTAGAATTTTAGACAGAGAAGTGCTGGGTTTGGATACGGCTGTGATGGAGACAGACGGGGGAAAACGGGCACAGGTGAAAGACATGACCTCGACGTTTGGATGGGATCCTGACTTGTGCGTGTGAGGAACGAAGAGAACACAGAATGTGAGAGAGAGTGAAGGTAGGAGAGACAGGGACAGCAAGATGAGGAAAAGAAGCGGGGAGAAGCAGGGGGGAAGAAGGAAGGCCCAGCAGGCTCAGGGATTTGTGCCACCTCAGAGCCAGGTTTCTGTTTTTCTGTCCTCGTGTCTCCTGGCCCTACCCCAAACCCTCCCTCCTGCACAGCTCATCTCTGAGAAGAAAACCTATTACCTGACGGCGGACTCGCCCTGCCTGCTGGAGGAGTGGATCCGAGTGCTGCAGAGGCTGCTCAAGGTCCAGGCCATTGGGCCGGCAGCCCTGCCTCAGGGTGGCACCAAGCCCACCGTGAAGGGCTGGCTCACCAAGGTAGGGCTGTGGCTGGTGGGGAGAAATGTGGCCTCCTGAGATCAGGGGAGCCAGGAGTGGGAGAGCCAAGGGGCACTGGGTCCCTTCGTTATCCACAGCTCCTCTCTAGGGATTTCCTCACAGGGATTAGCTGGTTGGCTTCAAATAAGGTCTGACCACACAGGTGATGGTGAATGATTCCCTGGAAACAGGGGTCAGGGCTGTTAGAACAACAGCTGTTCTCAAGACAAAGGAAAGAAAGGAACATCTTGTACCCATTTTGAGCTCATTAGGGGTTGCCCCCACCCCCTTTTGCACCTACCAGTATGAATAGTGGGAAGCTGCCAGGTCGGTGTGGCCACTCAGAAACTTGTAATATCCCAGGCCTGCCCTAAAGACGTTTTAGTCAGGGCTCTTTCTGTTGCAAGGAGCAGAGAAGCACATGTTAACCCCAAGTTAGAGGGAAGTTAACAAGGAAGCACATGAATTAGGCTGAACGCCTCCAGGAACTAAAGCGGCTATAGGCGCAAGCTCAGTGCTGCGGTCTCTCTCTCTCTGCCTCCGCTTCCCATTCAGTCTCCTCTGTGCAGCCGCTGTTCCTGCACCATTTATACTCGCTTCCCATGGCCCTTCCCTCCTTCTCGACATTCTTACAACTCTAGCCTCTGCCAACTGCAAGTTCCTCTCGTGTTCACATTCCTGGGACAGGACATCCAATTGGCCTAGTTAATCTTTTAATGGCATCTCGCACACGGATGGATGGGGTGTCCCATGGTACACACCTTGGCCCCTTGCTGAGAGAAAGGGCTAGTTCCCTTAGGGAGTCTCGGCGTCTCCACTAAGGGCTTGAGTTGACCAGGGGCTTTGACATCTGCCTGCCTGTGGCTTCTCTTTGCCAGTTCTGGATTTACTTCTGGGGCCACCTGGTTCTGGTCATCCTGACTCGTTTCTGTCTCACAGGTAAAGCATGGCCACTCCAAGCTGGTCTGGTGTGCTCTCGTTGGGAGAACCTTCTACTACTATCGGAGCCATGAGGACAAGGTACTTCCCGGTCTCCGACAGCACCTGTTCTCTCTTCCCCCAAACCCCATTTCTATGGCTCCACTTTCCCCTCTACCCCGCCTGACCCACAGCAAGTACAAAGCCAGCTGGCTGGCTCCCTCGAGTGCATGGACCATAGACACTCTGTGGGGTCTATTTTTCCAAGCAAACCTCAGCCAGTGGGCTGTCATCTCCCCTCCTCTTCTGTCATCCTTTCATGTCCATGATTCCCAGCCCCATAAGGCCTAGGGTCCCTAGAGAGGAGACTCCCTGCCCCCTGCAGCTCTCCCATTCATGGACAGCTTATGTCCGCAGCGACCCCTGGGCCACCTGCCTGTGCAGGATGCACGCATAGAGGAAGTCGATCGATCCTGTGACTCAGACGAGGACTATGAGGCTGGAGGAACCAGGCGGTTGCTTTCCTCGCACTGCACCCTGGTGATCCAGCCCCCAGAGCACAGCCCCACCTACCTTCTCATTGGCACAAAGCATGAAAAGGTAAGGAAGGGGCTGGGCCCACATGGCCACCCTTGGACCTGTGGTTCTCATCTCTCCTCTCTTTCCCCCGATCTTCCTCACATTCATGTTGATTTCCCTCCTGGACATTTTGGCAACTAGTAGTCCCTGATTAGGAATATTCCTTATATTGAATTTTTCCCAGTGACCATCTCTTCACTGAGGCAGAACCACAAACTTAGGCACTTGGGTTCGTGTTCATCTGATCCCAGGTCTTTCCCCTTGGCTTGTGTGAACTAAACCAGCTGAACCCTCCCTGGGCTTGGCCCCTTCAGGGAAGCCGCGTAGGAGCTCTTGCCTCCACCTGTCACCCCAGCCCCACCAGATGGCTTTATGTCCCCTTCCAGGATGCATGGCTTTATCACCTCACAGTGGCCGCAGGTGGCAGCAGCGCCAAGGTGGGGACTGCCTATGAGCAGCTCATTGGCAAACTGATGGATGATGAGGGTGACCCAGGTAAGGCAGGCGTGGCCGTCACAGCTGCATTAGAGGGTGGTGGCTGGGCAGTTGTTGGTCAAGAATCAAAGAAAGCAGTGCTGCGCCCTGATGCTGTTTTAAAACCGTCTGAGCTACAGAAGGGCATTCCCGCCCCAAGCTCCAGGGCCCCTGTCTCTGGTGAGAGGCTAAGGTGACTGCTCTGTCTCGGGGGAAGTTTGGGAAGCAGGCTTCCCAGCGACCTGGTCAATGTTTTACTTTGTTCAACCTGCAGCTTTACTGGCCGGAAAGAGGACTGAGGAGAGGAGGTAGCTGGTTAATCTATAGTTAGAGTTGTTAATAAATGAAGCCTAACCTAAGCCTGGGGTACCTTGGGGTCTTTATTTTGCTGCTGATTCTTAGGAGCCTGAGGCACTGACAGCACGCACCACACCCCCCCCTTTCCTGTAGCTTCACAGCTTGTTTATTTCGGGCTGGTACACACTCTCCATCCAGACCTGACGCTGCAGGGAGGGGCCCTCCCCTGCACACATGTGCTTGCCCTCAGATGCCCACACCTCGCGCCTCTGCAGCCCCACGAGCAAAGTGGTAGCTGCTTTCTTGTGAGCTTGGGGATGGGGTGGGAGGCGAGTTCCCTGGCCAGTGGTAACTGCTGTCTGCTGCTGTGCTTTGGGCAGACTCCCCCCTCTGGAGGCACCCCACGCTGTGCTACAGCAAGGACGGGCTGTACACGTCCCTCACCACCCTGCCCTCCGAGGCCCTGCAGACCGAGGCCCTCAAGCTCTTCAAGGTAAAGTGGGAGCAGAGCCCAATCCCACCAACTGGTGGTGGGTGCCCTCGCTATGTGCCCAGGCTNCCCACCGTGAAGGGCTGGCTCACCAAGGTAGGGCTGTGGCTGGTGGGGAGAAATGTGGCCTCCTGAGATCAGGGGAGCCAGGAGTGGGAGAGCCAAGGGGCACTGGGTCCCTTCGTTATCCACAGCTCCTCTCTAGGGATTTCCTCACAGGGATTAGCTGGTTGGCTTCAAATAAGGTCTGACCACACAGGTGATGGTGAATGATTCCCTGGAAACAGGGGTCAGGGCTGTTAGAACAACAGCTGTTCTCAAGACAAAGGAAAGAAAGGAACATCTTGTACCCATTTTGAGCTCATTAGGGGTTGCCCCCACCCCCTTTTGCACCTACCAGTATGAATAGTGGGAAGCTGCCAGGTCGGTGTGGCCACTCAGAAACTTGTAATATCCCAGGCCTGCCCTAAAGACGTTTTAGTCAGGGCTCTTTCTGTTGCAAGGAGCAGAGAAGCACATGTTAACCCCAAGTTAGAGGGAAGTTAACAAGGAAGCACATGAATTAGGCTGAACGCCTCCAGGAACTAAAGCGGCTATAGGCGCAAGCTCAGTGCTGCGGTCTCTCTCTCTCTGCCTCCGCTTCCCATTCAGTCTCCTCTGTGCAGCCGCTGTTCCTGCACCATTTATACTCGCTTCCCATGGCCCTTCCCTCCTTCTCGACATTCTTACAACTCTAGCCTCTGCCAACTGCAAGTTCCTCTCGTGTTCACATTCCTGGGACAGGACATCCAATTGGCCTAGTTAATCTTTTAATGGCATCTCGCACACGGATGGATGGGGTGTCCCATGGTACACACCTTGGCCCCTTGCTGAGAGAAAGGGCTAGTTCCCTTAGGGAGTCTCGGCGTCTCCACTAAGGGCTTGAGTTGACCAGGGGCTTTGACATCTGCCTGCCTGTGGCTTCTCTTTGCCAGTTCTGGATTTACTTCTGGGGCCACCTGGTTCTGGTCATCCTGACTCGTTTCTGTCTCACAGGTAAAGCATGGCCACTCCAAGCTGGTCTGGTGTGCTCTCGTTGGGAGAACCTTCTACTACTATCGGAGCCATGAGGACAAGGTACTTCCCGGTCTCCGACAGCACCTGTTCTCTCTTCCCCCAAACCCCATTTCTATGGCTCCACTTTCCCCTCTACCCCGCCTGACCCACAGCAAGTACAAAGCCAGCTGGCTGGCTCCCTCGAGTGCATGGACCATAGACACTCTGTGGGGTCTATTTTTCCAAGCAAACCTCAGCCAGTGGGCTGTCATCTCCCCTCCTCTTCTGTCATCCTTTCATGTCCATGATTCCCAGCCCCATAAGGCCTAGGGTCCCTAGAGAGGAGACTCCCTGCCCCCTGCAGCTCTCCCATTCATGGACAGCTTATGTCCGCAGCGACCCCTGGGCCACCTGCCTGTGCAGGATGCACGCATAGAGGAAGTCGATCGATCCTGTGACTCAGACGAGGACTATGAGGCTGGAGGAACCAGGCGGTTGCTTTCCTCGCACTGCACCCTGGTGATCCAGCCCCCAGAGCACAGCCCCACCTACCTCCTCATTGGCACAAAGCATGAAAAGGTAAGGAAGGGGCTGGGCCCACATGGCCACCCTTGGACCTGTGGTTCTCATCTCTCCTCTCTTTCCCCCGATCTTCCTCACATTCATGTTGATTTCCCTCCTGGACATTTTGGCAACTAGTAGTCCCTGATTAGGAATATTCCTTATATTGAATTTTTCCCAGTGACCATCTCTTCACTGAGGCAGAACCACAAACTTAGGCACTTGGGTTCGTGTTCATCTGATCCCAGGTCTTTCCCCTTGGCTTGTGTGAACTAAACCAGCTGAACCCTCCCTGGGCTTGGCCCCTTCAGGGAAGCCGCGTAGGAGCTCTTGCCTCCACCTGTCACCCCAGCCCCACCAGATGGCTTTATGTCCCCTTCCAGGATGCATGGCTTTATCACCTCACAGTGGCCGCAGGTGGCAGCAGCGCCAAGGTGGGGACTGCCTATGAGCAGCTCATTGGCAAACTGATGGATGATGAGGGTGACCCAGGTAAGGCAGGCGTGGCCGTCACAGCTGCATTAGAGGGTGGTGGCTGGGCAGTTGTTGGTCAAGAATCAAAGAAAGCAGTGCTGCGCCCTGATGCTGTTTTAAAACCGTCTGAGCTACAGAAGGGCATTCCCGCCCCAAGCTCCAGGGCCCCTGTCTCTGGTGAGAGGCTAAGGTGACTGCTCTGTCTCGGGGGAAGTTTGGGAAGCAGGCTTCCCAGCGACCTGGTCAATGTTTTACTTTGTTCAACCTGCAGCTTTACTGGCCGGAAAGAGGACTGAGGAGAGGAGGTAGCTGGTTAATCTATAGTTAGAGTTGTTAATAAATGAAGCCTAACCTAAGCCTGGCGTACCTTGGGGTCTTTATTTTGCTGCTGATTCTTAGGAGCCTGAGGCACTGACAGCACGCACCACACCCCCCCCTTTCCTGTAGCTTCACAGCTTGTTTATTTCGGGCTGGTACACACTCTCCATCCAGACCTGACGCTGCAGGGAGGGGCCCTCCCCTGCACACATGTGCTTGCCCTCAGATGCCCACACCTCGCGCCTCTGCAGCCCCACGAGCAAAGTGGTAGCTGCTTTCTTGTGAGCTTGGGGATGGGGTGGGAGGCGAGTTCCCTGGCCAGTGGTAACTGCTGTCTGCTGCTGTGCTTTGGGCAGACTCCCCCCTCTGGAGGCACCCCACGCTGTGCTACAGCAAGGACGGGCTGTACACGTCCCTCACCACCCTGCCCTCCGAGGCCCTGCAGACCGAGGCCCTCAAGCTCTTCAAGGTAAAGTGGGAGCAGAGCCCAATCCCACCAACTGGTGGTGGGTGCCCTCGCTATGTGCCCAGGCTCCACCCCACGCAGTTCTTCCCACCATGGTGATCCTCAGGTGGAGGAGAATGTGCACTTAGGGCGTGGCCCACAGGAGAATCGTAGAGAAAGGGGAAGAGTCCCACAGGATCCCCACTATATCCTGTAGGGCAGGGAGGCCAGAAGCTCTGGGATTTCATTCCCGAGCCTGGGGAAGCGCCTGTGAAACTCGCCCGTGAGCCCCCCACCTCCTTTGATGAACAGCAGGAAAGGGCAGGTATATGCTGTTTCTGGACTTGAGAGATTCTGACCTGTTTTAGAATGTTCTTTGTGCCCATCTTGAATAATCTATCTTTTTAAAAAATGAGTATGTTTTGCTTATGTAAGAGCAACATTTAAAGAAGGAAAGATTCTCTCCCAGGTAGCCTTCTCAGCAAGCACGGGTGCTCCCAAGCAGGACCAGTATTCCCTCTTAGAAACATTCTCTGTGGTGAACTGGCGCCTCCCCAAGCCCTGGGGGGATGGCCCAGTCTGCCCACTGTCACAGGGACTATGATCCATGGGTGGTCAGGCTGCCCGTGCCCACTGTCATTTCCCTGCCAGTCCTGCCAGCTCTTTATCAACGTGCCTGTGGAAGCCTCCTCGGTGGACTACCACGTGTCCCTGGCCCAGAGGGCCCTGCAGGTCTGCCTGGTGCACCCTGAGCTGCAGAGCGAGATCTACTGCCAACTCATGAAGCAGACCAGCTGCCGCCCGCCTCAGAAGTATTCTCTCACACAGGTAGGAGATCCCAGGGTGAACAGCGGACAGGAGCCATTGGCCAGGCTTGCCCAGGAGGTGGGAGACAGAGGAGGTGACTAGGCTGGTATCCTCTGAGCCTGGTAGCCAGTGGGCAGCTGCAGTGCTCAAAGCTGCCTCAGCACAGCTGCCCTCCCTGTGCTCCTTCTGGGTGATGTCTGTGTACAGTCAGCTTGTGCGATTGCCTTTCTGGTCAAAGCCTGACCAGGCTGACCGTCCCAGTACCCAGAGAAAGTGGGGGCTCCAGTTTGGAGAGCGTGCTGAAGGCTCTGTAGCTCAGGACTGTGAGGCTGGGGGCATATGGACCCAGCACTCACCCCACGCTGCCTATTGCCCTGCAGTGCTGGCAGCTCCTGGCTCTGTGCGCCCCACTCTTCCTGCCTCAACACCACTTCCTCTGGTACATCAAACAGCAGCTCCAGCGCCACGCAGACCCCAGGTGAGTGAGCACCATTTCCCCTGCCTCCCTATCACTCCCGGCTGTGGCATAATTGAGAGTGTCCCAGGGGATACCAGGATGGATCCCATCACCCCACCCTCTGAGGTTTGTTCATTGATCATGGAGCCTTCACCCATGGCTGTATACACAAATGGGCATGTGGAGATCTGGGCAGGCCTTGGCTTCTATGCACACCAGTTCCCATGTGCATAGATGTTTAGTGGGACTCGTTGCCTCCAGATTACCCCCAGATTTTCATTCTCCGTTGCCATGATCATATAGCCCTGATGGCAAATTGACACCCAGGCCAGTCTTCAGGGATTTTTCCACAGCCTGCCCCAGCGGCCAGTGTGGTCCTGGCCAGGTCTGGGTCGGGAACCAGGGTATGAGGATGGCAGGGAGGAATGGAGTCCCTAATATTCCCTTCTTCCTTCACCTGTCTTTTCAGCAATGAAACTGGCCAGTATGCCACCTACTGCCAGCGGGCAGTGGAGCGGACCCTGCAGACTGGGGAGCGGGAGGCCAGGCCATCACGCATGGAAGTGGTGTCCATCTTGCTGCGCAACCCCTTCCACCACTCCTTGCCCTTCAGCATCCCCGTGCACTTTGCCAACGGGACCTACCAGGTAGGGGGCAGGTATATGCCCTGTCCTGAGTCTCCTTATATCCTTGTCCTGGGAGGAGTACCTTAGGGCCAGGTGGGTGCTAAGCCTCCTTAGGATTGGCAGATTCTTAATAGGCAAACTAGCAAAAGGATGGGCCTGGGACTCAGGGGTGGGAGGGGTGGTTAGTGCCAGTGTGGCAGGGGAGAGGAGTTTGAATCACAAGAGCGTTCCACTGTTTGACGTCCTGGAAGTAGACTTTTTGAACCCATTGCATGAACAGGGAAGCTGAGACACTGACCAAGGAAGTCGCAGGAAAGGGCCTCCAAAAAAGTGACAGTAAAGGGAAAAGAGAGCTTGTGTCCCATACTGGTTTCCAGTGGGCAGGCTCACTCCTTAGGCACACACCCTCAGCATATGAATACAGAGTAGAATGTTTCTTGGCTCTTGCATTAGCCCTTGCTCCTTTTAGCCAAGCTTTTCCACCTCTGGATGCAGACCCCTCCACGAGCCCTAGTGGACCTTCCTCAGGAAGCCCCCTTCGGGCTGATACATATTCCCTGCAGGTGGTTGGTTTTGACGGCTCCTCCACTGTGGACGAGTTCCTCCAGCGGCTGAACCAGGAGACAGGCATGAGAAAGTCGTCCCACTCTGGCTTTGCCCTCTTCACAGACGATCCTTCTGGCAGGAACCTGGAACACTGCCTGCAGGGGAGTGTCAAGGTGACGGCCTCCCCACTGAACCCACTGAGCTCCTCCTGTGCCACCTCCTGGCTCTGGAGTTTTGGTGGTGGGGAAAAGCCTCGCTGATGGGTGTCTGTCACAGCCTGTTTGGTGCTGAGTCCAAGGTGCTTGCCTGCTTTCTGTGCCATCCTAAAATGTACCCATGTGGGCAGAGAAAAGTTGTTTGTGCCTTTGTCTCTGGAGAGAAGAGCTCTATGTCCCTCTTTCCCTTGGGTGGCTATGCAGCATCCAAGGGGGAAGCTGCTTTTCAGCTGGTGTAGGAAGGACAGGGGGGCACTTCTCAGCAGCAGCCCCAGCTGAGCCTACTGGTTACGTGCTCGCACGCGCGCACACACATGTACACCTGCATGCACATGCACATGCACACGCACACACACAGGTGGGCAGCTGTATGCCTAGACCCACTGGACGCTGTGTCGTACACTGGCACTTCACTCTCTCACTGTCTGCCAGGACCTATGCTGTGCCTACAGGCTCAGCCACATTTTTAGGAGGTAGATCCTTATGGTGCTTCTGTATTAAAGGCCTTTGAATGGGTCTGAGGACCTATCTTGTATTGTGGTCTGAGAGTAGAGCCATGGCACAGGTTAAGTGTTTGCGGGAATGTGCTGTAGCACTTGATGAGTGTGAGTTTTGGGTCCATGTCTGGTTTCTTTATGGCAGCAGGACAGAGTCTCCTACTGTCCTTTACCATTGCCTAGAAACACTATGACACACGTACCTTCTTCATAAGTGTCAGGGCGTCTGTAAGGCTTTGTTACACAGTAGGCCTCTGGGTATATTTGCTGACGAGGAGAATGGCTGTCAGTGGAATGGAATTGCAGCCAGTGATATGAGGCCATGGTTTTTGACTGAGACCTGCCTTGCCTCGAGGGAGCTTTAATTTTGCTTTGCTGCTCACGCCATGCCCAGGCTGAACCTCTATGTCTATGAGGAAGCACAGGCACCTGGGGTCCTGGGAATAGGAGCACGAGGCCCCACAGGACCTCCTCGTGGTGGACAGTCATTCAACTCTGCCCTGCTGCTCTGCTGAGTCCAGCCTGCCTGGACCTCGTTCCCCCCATCAGGTGCTTTCCTAACTTTCCTCTTTTGCCTCTTCAAGATCTGCGATGCCATCTCCAAATGGGAGCAAGCCCTGAAGGAACTGCACTCCAGGAAGTCTGAGGGTGGCACTCGTGTCGTGAAGCTGATGTACAAGAACAGGTCCTGAGCACTGCCCAGGGGTGGGGCCGAGCATGAGGGCTGCCCCTGGGGTGCTCAGGCAGGATGGTCCACAGATACAACACCCCATGGTGCTCATTACTGGAGAGCCAGGCCCCTTAGAAGACTGAAATTTTTTATGAGCACTAGATATTTAAGGCTGAAAATAAATTGCACCTATACCAATTCCAGAAGTAGACATTCTGACTTTTTACCAATTTGAGTAAGAAAATTCCATCCCAGATTAGTCTCCAGGCAAATAATTTCTAGTAGTCTCTTGGCTTCTTAACTCATCCAGTTCCCTAATAAGCTGTAATTTCTGGTACCAGATTCCCTTCACCAAATCCCGTAAGTCTAATAGTGTACCCAGAATTAAGCACATGCTACTGTTGCTATGAGATCTGATAGCCCTGAATCAGCTCCGTGTCATGCTTACTTAAATTTTTTGGAGGCAATAGAAAATAGGCTCACAAAAGGTATAAAAAGAGTCATCTCTTTCTTTGGAAATCAAGATAAACGGATGCCAAGATGATCTCATCCTTTTGGGACCCCAGCTGACCTGGCTTCTCACCCTCTTCCCTGCAGGCTGTACTTCCGGAGTCAGGTCAAAGGGGAGACAGAGCGTGAGCGCCTGCTTCTCGCCTTCCAGACCAGCGGAGAGATCGTGGCAGGGAGGTTTCCTGTCAACAAGGAACTGGCTCTGGAGATGGCTGCCCTGATGGCCCAGGTAAGGTTCTGCTTAGGAATCAGGAGGGTCAGGATACCATCTTTGGACTCACAGGTGGAATGCACCACACAGTCTGAAAGGAGATTCTGCAGATCTGTGGGGCCAGAGGAGAGGCTGGCTTTGCTATCCCTGGCTGTGGAAGAAGGTGACTCTTTATCCGGCAAAGCTCCTCTTTGCAGGTACAGGCTGCGTGCAGAACTCTGGGTGTGGAATCCGGAGGCCTGGGTTTGAGTTCTAGCCACTTCCTGCTGTGAGATCTTGGTCTCACTTGCCGTGTCTATGCTTTAGTTTCCATTTTCGTAGACTGAAAACAAAAATACCTCCATACCTGCTTCTACAGGGTTGTTATACTAAATATAATTTTTAAAAAATCCTTACCCAAGGATTCAACTATTGATTTTAGAGAGAGGGAAAGGTGGGGAGAGAGAGAAAAACACCGATTGATTGCCTTTCTGTATACTCCCCGACTGGGGATCAAACCCACAACCTTTCAGTGTGGGATGACACTGCAGCCAACTGAGCCATACCGGCCAGGGCCTAAATACGATTCTTAAATAATTCATATCACATAATGTAAGTGATAAAATTTGTACTTACAAATTTTAAGTCAATCATTTTAAGTAGAGTTAGGGAAAGGAACACACATTCAGACTTCAACTCTCCTCCCTGTCACCTTTAGGCGGCCAACTTGCCAGATGTATCTGGGATATCTATATGGTTCCCATGGAGAAATAATATTAGCTCCTCTTTCAAATAATAAACATTTATTGAATACTCTCTAGAGGGCCCTGTGCCAAATATTTTATATGTATTGTCACCTTTAGTTTTTATCCCCACATAATAGGTGAGGATATTGAAGCTCAGAGAGTCTAAGTAACTAGACCAGGGTCACAAAGCTGGGAAGTAGCAGATCTGGGCTTTGAGCCACGTGTCCTACTCCAAAGGCCATAGTTGGAACTCTGCTATACAGTAAGTCAGTCCTCACTTAACATCGTCACCGGTTCTGCGACTTCAAGTGAAACATCTCATCAATGTTATGTTATTCGAGGACCTGCTGTACTCTAGGATCTATAGCATCTTCAGTCTTGTATCCCATATTTTTGAATTGGAAGCCAGAATTTCTTATGTTGTTGTCCTTTGTCTGCCCCTAATTAACTGGGTCTTTGGATAAGGCACTTAACCTCAGCTGGGAAATGGAAGTTGGTCTAGATAATCTCTAATATTCTAGGCCCCTTGTTTCTCTAGTGTCTGTGAAACTGGAGTTAAAGGATCTCTTCACTAGAAGTGTTTTTTTACATCCATTCATACCTCATCAGTAAAGTTTTGAAGTAATGGTTCATTTCAGCTCTCTCAGCAGCCCATCCTCACCCCTATTCCTATCCCGCCCCACCCATGTCCAGATTCTTGACTTGTGCCTCCATGTGCTTCCATCACAGGTAGAGTTTGGGGACTTGGAGAGGCCCCTCCCACCAAGCCCTGGGGGCACACCGCCTCCCAAGGCTCAGCATCACCTACAGCAGGTCCTAGACAGGTTCTACCCAAGACGCTACAGACACGGGGCACCCCCTGAACAGCTGAGGTAGGCTACAAGGTCTTGTGGGGATGCGCTGTGGGAGATGTGGGCTGCAGAGTTGGGCGGCCTCAGAGCTGCCACAAAAACATGTTGGAACTTCACTGGCACCATTTCTCTCCATCTGTCCTAACTAGGCATCTGGTAGATCAGCTGACTGCAAAGTGGGCAGCTCTGCAAGGCTGCTCCCCTCCAGAGTGTATCCGCATCTATCTGACTGTGGCCCGGAAATGGCCCTTCTTTGGTGCTAAGCTCTTTGCTGCTCAGGTAAATGCAAGTGGTTTTCAGTGGAAGGAGTGGTGACCACACCCTCAGGAATGCCCAAAGTTTCTCCTGGAGCCGCAGTCCCTATCTGGTCATGTTTGAGTCCACTCTGCAGCACCTGCCTGCAAACTAGCAACCACCAGGGGTCGCTCTCTCTCCACCCATTTCTGGTCTCATTTTCATGGTCCAGAGCAGTTGTGATTCGTTGCTTTGGAGCCAGGGTTATTTTATCTTTTCCTTTATTGACTTCTTTCTCAGTGCTACCCCTGGGACAAAAAGAGATAGGGTCAACTAATTATAAGGGCATATAACAGGGGGCCCCACTTGGTCTGGGAAGTTGGGGAAATATTCTGAAAAAGCTGACATGCCTACCTCCCCAGCCTTCTGGGGATTGCCCTACTGTAGTGCTGGCAGTGAAAAGAGTCATCCCAGGAATTGTCCACGAAATAGCCACTTTTCTTACTGGTAGGGCCTAAAGCCCGTAAAATTGCATTCTTGCTTTCCTACTTCTTTTATAGTCCTTGGGAAATTGATTGAAGCAAGATGCACTTCAGCTGGGAGAGACTGTGGGTGGAGTACTGTTAGTTTCTGAGAGCCAGGAGAAAACAGCAGCCAGGGATGCTCCATTCTACAGCACAGCGCTTCCCAACCAGTATGCTGTGGCAGGATAGGCTATGGGTACTCCAAGAAAGTGATCTCCTCCCGCCTCAGGATTGTTAGTAGGTAGCCAGAGCCCCAAGGCCAGATGCCTCCTGTTTACTCCAGAATGCTATACAAATGTTTTCTAAGACAAGGAAAAGATCACTGCCTAGTAGCCCCCTGCATGCATCTTCTTCCTCACAAAGCTATTATGGTTCAGAATCCCTAGCTGTGGATGTCTGATGGGATTTTCCTGTTTCCCCAGCCTGTGCAGCTGTCTTCCAGGGAGAACGCTCCGGTGTGGATTGCAGTGAATGAGGGTGGGGTCAGCGTCCTGGACCACGGCACCATGGTATGGAAGGGTGAGGGCTAGCTCCCTGACCCCTCCTTCTCCTGAATAGTCTTTCCTTCTCCTCTCTGCACTCAGAGGCCTGAATTAAGTGACCATGGTCTGCCTACCCCCATTCCTTCCCCAAGCACCACTGTTCTCTAGTCTAGACAAAGCTTATAGACATTGGAGGTGTAGATCTACAGATTATGAGCACTTCAGAGTTCTCCCTTCCTGGTTAAGGCTCCCTGTGCTTGGAAGAGACAGGGGATGCTGTTTCTTAGCTCAGGAGGCAGGGGGAAAGTTTCCCCAGAACTAACTGGCTCTTTCCCACAGCAAGTGCATGTCACTTACCCCTACTCTTCAGTGACGACCTTTGGTGGCTGCCGGGATGACTTCATGCTTGTGATTAGATCCCTTCCAGACCAGAGCTCTGGAAAAGGCCACACTGAGAAGTTGATCTTCCGGATGGCCGCTCCCAAGGTGGGTCTGAGCGCTGCTAAAATATTTTACTCTGACCTAGTAGGGAAAGGGGGGTGGACTTGGAGCTTAGAAAGGAAGCTGGGGTTATGACAGTATCCCAGAAGAGCCCTGCCCCAAACAAAACTTTTGGCCATGTCTATAATGACTCCAGAGGGTTCAGGTGGAGTTGCATCTCAAGTCACTGCTGAGCAGGTAGGTGAGGGCTGGCTGGGGAGGCAACACTGGCCCAGCTACTCCTGTGCTCTTCACATTATCTTTTCTAGTCTCTCCAGCCTCAGCACCGTGCAGGCTGGAGTCGGTGCTCACTTGCCGTTCTCCTTGCAGCAGGCCTAGGGCCAGGGCGCTGCCTCCTCAAGGTGTTCTCACTTAGTCACACAGTGGGACAGTGTGCACATGCTCCCCCTTAACTTCAGGTCTTGAATTCCATCCAAAGACCTCTTTTGCCTTAAGGGCTTTATTCCCACTCAGTACAGGAAATGTTGACTAGCAAAAATAAGAGTTACAAAGACTCAGAAACCTAAGTCCTGATTTACAGTTATGGACTCCCTCTGAGAGTAACTGGAAACCCGGTTGTTGTTGTTGTGTGTGTTTTTTTAATCATCACCCAAGGATATTTTTTTTCCAGTGCTTTTCAGAGAGAGTGGAAGGGAGAGATGGGGAGTGGGGGGAGGGAAGAAACATTGATGTGAGAGAGACACATGGATTGGTTGCCTCCCACATGTGCCCTGACCTAACCTGGGCCGGGGAGTGAGCCTGCAACGGAGGTATGTGCCCTTGGCTGGAATCGAACCTGGGACTTTTCAGTCTGCAGGCTGATGCTCTAACCACTGAGAAAAACGGCCCGGGCAGAAACCCTGCTGTTTTCATCCAAAAGTTGGAGTTTGCCAAATCTCCTCCCCCTTTTAGTACACCCCTGCCAAAGGAGAGGATACATAGACCCTTTCCTCCAAGGAGGCCCCCTTTCCTAGCTTGGAGCCAACTGGAGCAGAAATGTTGCCTCTCCTGTTCTCAGGGATACTGTGCACCTCAGAGGACCTCCAGACCACTAGGCACCCATTTCATTGGGCCTCTGAACCTCACAGTAATGATCATCTTTGGGCATTTTCTCCTGGGAGGATGTTTTAAGAGATAAAGAAACTGAAGCCCAGGAAGGTTATGTACCCAGTGTAACAGCTGGTAAGTGAGAAAGCCAGTATTGGAGCCAATGCTAGTTCAAGTCCTCTGTTTATCTGTTGTCTCCTTAGATTGCAGAGGCTACTTTCATCATGGCCAGCTACATGAACCATTGCTCCATAACTGTGAACCCACGCACCAAGCCACCTGCTGCCCACCAGCCATGGGAACTGGCTGGACAGTTCTTTGCTCCTGTTACATGCACTGCCAAGGAGCCAACGTTGCTGTGAATATTTCTCCTACCTTTCCCCCCACCACCTGGTGCCTCTGGGGTTGGAGATACGAAGTGGGGCATGATACTACTGTGATGGGTCTACCACCCTCCCCCGACTCCCACCCTGGTTTGTTCTGTGAAATGTGAATTTCTGTATCATGAAGCCTTTATTCTCTAGGTGCCTTATAATGTTTCAGGGCCCAACTTTTAAAAATCCAGACCCAGTATAAAGACCACTGTTTTTTTCCACAAGAATACTGAGCTCTGGATGCAGCCTGCTTCTAGACAGACAGGGGTGTTACTGGTTCCTGAGGGCATCAGTGCTGTAAGTCAGGGCTTTCCCCGCTGATACCCTCAGGGAGGCTAATATTTTTTATATTGTATATGGTCCTTATGTGGGGATTTATACTTGAAGTTTTCCCAACATCCCTGAATAGGACTAAAATTTCCAGTTCACCTGAACTCTGACAAAAGCCTAGAACTCGCTAAAACTAGACTTCCTTTCCCAGATGGGAAAGGTGTTGCCAGAGCTGGAGAAAAAGGAATAGCCACCCTTCCCCTCTCCCTACCACAAATAAATGCAGCTCCTATCTTTGCAGGACCAGGAGCTCCCCTGCTGAGATCGTAGCTATTCTCCCTCACACTGGACTATAAGCCCAACTGGGTACAAGCTAAGGCAGGGGTAGGTCTAATCTGACCTCTCCATGTCTCCTTTTAACTACTGGACAGGGCTCAGTGAAGGCTGTGCTCACTATTGTAGGACGAGGTGGTTGTCACTGTCTCCCTGCTCTTTGAAAGACCAAGCAAATGCACTCTGCTTTTTGCTGCTCTGTGAGCCACCAAAGATGAGTCAGAAGCAGAAGACCCCTCGGGGCTCATGGGCCTGGATTCACTCAAGACTTCTGGCGAACTTCCGCTGGGAATTAGTGTGAGGACAGAGGACATGTGATGTCTGTGCCAGCCTAAGAGTATCAGGTGAAAAAAGTTGAATGTTGCTTTCACCTTTTGCCTTTCTAATGATGCCAGTACCCCCCTGTCCCCAACTGAGACCTTCTGCTGAGTGCAGAGATGATCTTTGTTTCCACCCTCCCCTAACAGAAAGACGAAAGAGTTCATTGGTACTGTGATTTTCCAACATTGGAGACTGAGTTTTATTTCACAGCTCTAATGCAGTTTTACCATTTGTCAATAAAGTGCTGAAAACTGTATGGTTTTAGCAGTAGCATCCAAGAGTCAAGCCTTTGACCCCAACGTGTGTGTTTATGTGTGTGTATGTGCATGTGTGTGTGTGTGTGTGTGTGTGTTCTGCATACTGCAGAACTGCTTGGCCAAAACTAGTGTATGTGAGCACCTCAGCAGCAGCACACTTCTCTTCTCTCATCCTTTAAACTGACAAACATGATGAAAAAGAAGCTTATCAGCCCGGCTGGGCGTGGCTCGGTAGTTGAGCATTGACCTAGAATCCAGGAGATTGCAGTTTGATTCCCAGTCAGGGCACATGCCTGGGTTATGGGCTCGATCCCCAGCAGGGAGTATGCAGGAGGCAGCAGATCAATGACTCATCATTGATATTTCTCTCTCTCTCTCTCTCCCCCTCTCCCTTCCTGTCTCTGAAATCATTAAAGATATTTTTTCTTAAAAAAGGAAAAAGCAGCGCATCAGAGTGTCTGCCTCTTAAATGAACCTGACTTTGCAAGGCTGGCAGTTTTACAGCTGTCTCCCACTTCTATTCCTGCCTTTCCCCCAGTATTTGGGATCTAGTTGGGACATATCTACCTCAAACAGGTCAACACGTCACACCTACCACAGGCTTCTGAAGTACCCCTCCAAGGCTGGTGTAAAAGACAGAAATGACAACTGCAGCTTTGTAATACCCTGAGTGTCTCTAAGGCTCATGAGGATATTACCTACCTGGGAATGTGAAAAAAATTAGGATCCCAAAGAAAAAGCAAGAATAGAGCTGTGTTCATACCAAATTTGGGGGTCAAGCTATTTCCCCCACCCTATCTCCTTTCCAACCCTTTAGGAATCCTCTCTTAGTTTATGAATTAAGCAAACAAAGGCTTCTATCATTTGCATCTATGTCCTTTAACATGTCTGGAAACCAAAGTAGAACTTCTGTCTGGCCTTCTGTCTGATCCTTCTTGGCAAAAGTTTTGGAAACCACACACAATGCTGAGTAACAGAAGAGTATTGATGTGCTTCATACCCATTACTGAAATGCCACATTCAAGTCTGTCAATAAATAGCGGCTGTGAACCAGGCAATTATGTGCATGTTTAGGAAGGAGATCTGTTTATTAAGAGAGTCATCATGAACTAACCCTGTGCAGACACAGGAGCTAGGGGGATAGAGACTAGTCTTTTGTAGGACATTTCTTCCTGTTAGCCCAGTACTTGAAGGGCTTGACTTTTTTCTTAACTTTTATACAGTTAGAAATTGTCTGTCTCAAGAGATCTGATAGCACTTTCCCATTGTCTTGCTCCACATATTTCAACAAAAAGTGAACCTGAATGTGCTTGGGAAATTCACAAAGTGCTCTTTGTCGACATGAGCTTTGACATGTCATTTCTTAAGGTCTCCCCTCGGTTGGTAAAGCAGGCAGTACCTTACAAGGGGAGCACTAAAATACACAGAAATACTTTGCTCGACATCACACAATGAGCTGGGTTTCCAGTCACCTGCTCTGTGGCTCTCAGATCCACTGCATTCATCTGATTCCTAGGACCATGTCCACATGATGGTTTAGAATCCAGAAACACACCAGCCCAAGGGCTTAGGAGTCACTTCCCATGGAAGACAGCACTGGCCTTCTGAATGCTGGGACTCATGGGCTTGGGGATGTGGCTTTCCGGTGTGCCAGGATCTCCTGGCAACTCCTGTATACTTCAATCAAGCAGTCCAGCCGGGGCTTCGCACTCTGAAGTCCAAAGGGGAGAAATGCACAGTCAAGATGAACATAAGAGAGTGCTTGGGAGTGCTGCATCCATGTGCAACCTCAGGCTCTCACCCACAGCAAGGGGTTTATTGGCACAGGTGGGAGCTCAGAAAGGCAGTTCAGGCCTTACAGCACCTTGCTGGAAGAGGCCCTAACTAGGCTCATAGCCCAGCTTGTGAATAGTGCGAAGCAGGGTCTCAAAAGACAGTTTTTAATCTGTGTAACTTTCACGACCTCCATCTAAGAGCAAGCAAGAGGAGTAACAACTCCTCTTGGAGTTGTTACTGGGGGGGAGGGGGGGGGCGGTCACAAGCTGTGAAACAGTCCTCAGGAGCAAGAAGGGCAGCTTAACATGTAAATATTGAAAAATATTTTGTATAATGCAATGTAACAGAATGAAAAAAAAGTTACAGAATGGGGAAAAGATACGTAGAAAGCATGTTTAATAAAAGCTTGCCAGCAAAATATATAAATTGTTACAAATGCATATCAATATCTCCATTCTACTTGACTAATAGAGATATGGATAGTTTAAAACAAGAGGAATTACTAATAGGTAGATATAAGGAAATATGAAAAGTCTGTCATTTAAATAGATACACATTTAAAAACTTTAAATTCCTTTACCTACATACTAAACTAAAAAATAGCTAAACCCACTGTTAGCCAAGACTGTAGAAAAACAAGCACAAGTTACCCAAAGTATGGTAAAGTTGTCCAATCTCTGGAGCCAAATCTCAAACACTGAAAAAATCGATAAAGCTATTCATAAGCTTTAATAAAATAATTTTTAACTATAATGCAAAAGAATTTTAGCTAAGCTGCCTTAAATCCTTTGAGAAATAGGCAGTGAGGCAGAATTAACTGCATACACAAATTATACACCTTTAAAGGAATTTATTACAATTGTTTGTATAAGTTTTTTTATAAGAAAAAAAAAAATAACCTGGATGTGATTTCAAAAGCAACAGAGTAGCTAAATAAACTGATACTCGATATGATGATATAATTTAAAATAATTAGTATAATGGCCTTTGTAGATGCATGAAAATATGCATGTCAGATTTAAAAAGCAAGATACAAAACGGTGTGTAACAGTATGTGTAGATCAGTAACATCTACATAAAATCATATTGGTAGACTGACAGAGTCGAAGGAGATGAATGGTGATTTATAGGCAGAAGGTGCTATATATTTATTTTTTTCTCTAAAATTTGTATGAACTCGTATTTCTGAAAGTCTATATTTGCCTCAGGAAGGAGCTTCTAAAATAACTAAAATCCTAATTCTCACTAAAAATAGCTGTCAGTTATCCTCAAATGTTCCTGACAACAAAAGTTTACATTGCTAGTAAACAGAAGTAGCAGTGGATATGCAGAGAGGGGGAGGAAGGTAGAGGATTTCTTTGGAGAAGAAAGTTAAGCAGTGTGTTTGGTGCTCACCTGGAAGACAGGTACTACTTGGGATATTTCATCTGGTTCCACTGGATCATTCAATAAAATGCAGAGGTAGTAAATCACTTTCTGCTGTAAGAAAATACACCAAATAGCAGAGATCTAAGTCAAACTTGTTTTCTTTTTCTTCAAGGGAAAGCTAAAACTCTTTCATAAATGGTTATCTCTAAGTAGAACACTTGATAGCTTTTGAAGTGAGGGAGAAGTATATTCTCATGCTTTTAATGAAAAAGACAAAATAGCAACAACCAGAGATGATTCTGAAGCTGAGCCAAAAAATAAAGTTGAAATACTGACTCCCTAACCATGGAAACCTGCTGTGTCTCTCTCTTTAAAAATAAAGGGACACCCTGGCCAGGCAGCTCAGTTGGTTAGAGCGCTGCCCCGATTTGCCAAGTTTTTGGATTCAATCCCTGGTCACAGCACATACAAGAATCAGCCAATGAATACATACATAAGTAGAACAACAACCCATGTTTCTCTCTCTCTCTCCCCCCTTTCCTCTCTCTAAAAATAAATAAGCAAATAAAATAACATAAAATAAAGTAAATAAAGGGATATATCTTTTTTCAATGTAAGTTCCACTTTTATGGGTTTTAGACATGCCAGCTCAAAAGGAAACACTACAAGTACTGGAATAGAGAGCCCTTAAATTTAATTTTTTGACATCTAATACTTTAGGTATTAAAACAGTTCAGATCCAGGCCAGAGAGGCCTGTAACACCATTTACATACTTACCATGTAAATAGCCTCATTAATGATAACATCCTTCACCTTGCCCATCTCAATGAAGGTGGTGCTTTCTTTGCCAGAAGCATAGGATGAAGTCATCTGGATGCCAAGGGAATCAATGATTAACAAAGTCTCCTGATCAATCTTCACAAAATGGAGGTAACCAAGCAGGCCTATGAGGGTGATGAAGATGGCAGCAGAGAGGATCATGCTGTTCTGAAGAGAGAGCCAGACATAGGCAGTAAGATTACTAAGTGGTCTTCTGCATATATCGATGTTTAATAAGTCAACTCTAGGCAACGCAGGAAAAAAGCTTTTGCTCTGGATAGGTCTGCGGAAGAGAACCTCCATCAGCAAAATATCCACCATCAGAGATTTTTTCTTCCAAAACTGCAACTTAAGGACTCAGGCCTTTTCCTCTCACACTCACTCCTTCAGAATATATAGTGCAAATCATGGCCTGAACAATAATAAAATGCTCAGCACAGTGTAACAGATACTACTCAACAACCACTGCTCCTTCCTAATAGAACATGGAGTGAATCATGATTGGTTCCCACTCCTGCCGATGACTAGTTTAAAAATGGACACATGACACAACTCTGGCCAGTGATATGTGAGGGGAGATCTGCTACAGGGGCTTCTGGAAAACTAAGTCCATCTTAAAAAGAGCTCTAAGGAAGACAAGGTTTCTACATCCTGAGGTTTTGATTTCTGCAACTACTAAGGGACTCTGTAAGACCATGTGAAAAGGTAGGCTGAGGACGAGTAGAGTACACCAAGATGAAAAACACCCTCTTATGCCCCCTAGAGGCCTCCTACCTCCTGAATTCTTTTGTTAAATAACAGAGATACTGCCATTTAGGGCTCTTTCATTGTGTTGGGCTGTGACTAACTGATGTGTTAAGGGTTGAAAATGGTATATTTATTCCTTTGATTCTAAGACACATTTACAACCTTTTATCATTTCTGATGTTTTTCTATTGATGTGTGTTTCTTTCATGTGGCATTGTTTTCTTTTTTCTATAAAACTACTATATAGAAGGATGGCACAAGAAAAAAATCATCGACCTGGAATCAAAAGAGATTCAGTAATTTGTGACGGTCATTCCTCAAGGGCAGGAAGTATCATTATTCTTTGTTACTGACAAGATGCCCTCCTTGACCTAACTCTAGTCAAGCTCTTCTAAGCCTTGGCATCCATCCTTGTTGGGCCTGCATTGCCCAGTTGTAGCAAGTATCTTACTAAATCAGTTTAGCCTGAATCCCCCTTTACCCCTGATGTTTCCTTTTAGTAATTTCCCATCCACTGACCCCCACCCTGCTATTAGGCTATAAATTCCCACTTGTCTGTGCCACATTCAGAAATGAGCCCAGTTCTGTACTACGGTCTTTCCTCCTATTGCAATAGCTTCTGAATAAATCTACTTTTACCACTTTAGCTACTGACCAGCTCTGATTTTCGTTGAAAGTATCTTTCTAGATATGCCAAGGTTGCAGGTTTGATCTCCGGTCAGGGCACATACAAGAAACAACCAATGAATGCATAAATAAGTGCGAAAACAGATCAATGTTTCTCTCTCTAAAATCAATCAATAATTCTTTTTAAAAAAAGAAAGCATCTTTCTATGTCTTTCTACCTCACATATACTAATTGTTAGATCAGAGGTCTGCAAACTATTCGGGCACGTGATCTATTTTTGTCTGGTCCGCTTTGAGCTAAGAATGCTTTTTACATCTTTTAAAGGGTTGTTTAAAAAAAGAAAGAGGGGGGAAAAACAAGAATATGAAAGAGACCTATAAAGCCTAAAATATTTACTATTTGGCCTTTTAAAGACAAAGTCTGCCGCCCTCTGTGCACGATGACTATGTGTTGATTAGTGGATGGAAGATGAAGAAATCTATGTGCTGGGCGTTTGACATTCCAGAAATATCTACTTTGAGTTAATTAAGTGTCTAGTAGCTAGTACAGTGTCTTGCACATAGTTTGCACTGAATAAGCATTAAGGAAGAATGGGGAGAAATAAAACTCAGTCCTGACCCTTAGAGATTTATTAAAGGCAAGAGTAATTCATATAAACTATTTTTGGAGAATACTAAGATACTATAAATGCCTAGGAAGGGATGGGGGGGGGGCAGATTAAAGCACAGAGCAATGTCCCATGAAGACTTCCAAGGAAGCAAGACTTAATTGGTGCAGAGGAGGTGGTAGTTATTGATAGATATACTTAATTGATAAAAGGAAGGGAAAGAACACCACTCTAGGTTGGAATAAATAAGGTAAAAACCTGGAATTTTAACAGAACAGTGAATTCAGAAACTAGAAGAAGGGATGAAGAGCAGTAAATGCTTAGAGAATTTGATCCATATCAGCTTTTCAAGAAGGTAATCTCTGCCCAAAACTTTATATATATAATATCTTTATTGATTTCAGAGAGGAAAGGAGAGGGAAAGAGAGAGAAACATCAATGATGATAGAGTTATTGACTGGTTGCCTCCTACAAGCCTCCCACTGGGGGTGGAGCCCACAACTCAGGCATGTACCCAGATCAGGAATCCAAACGCGATCTCCTGGATCATGCTCAACCGCTGAACCATGCCGCTGAGCTACCTATATTATTTTTTAAGTGAAAATTGTTTAATCATTTTAGAGCAGTCAAAATACAACATAAGACTGGTGTCTGAAAGCAATCATTTTGCCATATGTATCTTAATCTTTTAGTGCCTACATTTTAATACTTCATTTTTCTAACAGTTCAATATTCATTTAGGTCGAAGGTAAGCCATGTTCTAATGAACTCCTTCATCAGATTTCTTCTCACTCCTAGCGGAGATTCGTTACTCTGAGGAATAGTTTTGAATAGGAGGAGAGATAAGAAATGTTGGTACACAGAGCCCTGAAGTGCTGCAGTGGAGTTTAGAGGAAGATGAGGTTACTGAGTCCTGGGCACTTGATGGGACTAAGTGGTACCATGATGAGAGAGATGAGTACAAAAGGGAGCTGGCATAAAAAACAAACTTCTCCACTTAAAAAGTTTGCCTAAGCAAGCCCTTCCCAAGGAGGAGACATCATAGTCTAGTGGAAAAGGAAGGGTTTCAGAGTCAGATAGTGCTGGGTTTAAAGCCCAGGTCTACTAGCTTTGTGACTTTGGATGTTATTACTCTTTCTGGGCCTTGGTTTTCTTCTAAGGTTGCAATGAGGCATCCAGTAAAGCAGCTGGGACTATCAAAAGCAGTGGGCATTTAATAAGTATCTCTTCCCTCCTCCTCACATGACCACATGGCCAGAACCTATAATTTGGAACAAATTAAGGCAGTGTTAATTATGTGTATATCTATGCTCTGGTAGCAGAAAAGCTAATGGATGCGGTAAAGGATGCAGTAATGGAAGCAATATCTGAATTATAGAAATAAATAGCCCCGATGTTCTTAGCTCTGACCAGATCACTCCTGGAATAACATATTCCATTCAGGACACTACATATGAAATTAAAAAGGGCAATTAGGCTGGTTCCTTTTATTTGGGGGCTGTCACAAAACTACTGCACGTGACGCTCGCAATCCTGTGAAGCCCGAATGGCAGATATTAACTCCATTTTAGAGACGTGGAAACAGGCTGAGAGAGTACGAATGAGCCTGGAAATTGCGCATAGAAACGACCCATCTCTGAGATGTCATAATTCTTTAGAAAGGACTTGAAGTCGGGAAAGCGGTTGGGAGACGGTGGGGTCAGATTGCCTTGGAAAACAAAGATTAGAAGAACTATCAATATCAAGCTCTTAAATAACGTGTGTGTATATACGCACACGCTACACAAACACACACGCACACAGTGGAGACAAAGACAGTTTCTGGGAAACTACACATCGCGTGTTGTTAGCAGGGATTCCCCCGAGGAGTGAGCGATGGGCGAGGACCCACTCGGTCGTTCTCCTGACCCTCGAACCGAGTTACCACTTAAGGCACATGGAAGTGAACGTTTCAGGCCGTCGTGCAAGCACCAGCTGTATGCCGGGCGGAACCGGGGCACAGCAGCGACCCCGGAGAGGGAGGAAGTCCAGGGGCACACACTTCGCTCCACGTAATTTAAAGAGCTGTCCAGCGGCCGAATGGCGTCCCCAGAGCCAGCGACTTCTCACTCGCCGGCCCTACGACTGCAGGAGGATGTGGTGAGAGGTCCGCGCTCGGCCCCAAGACCCCAGGGATCCTCCCCAGATCGAGATCCGGACACCGACCGCGGGAGGGGCGGCCGGGCTTTACCTCGCAGAGGGTGAAGAGGCTGTAGGCCGCCAGCCACACGGAGCAGGTGACAGCGGTGAGCGAGCGCAGCGAGAGCCGGGGGCAGCTGAGGCAGAACTCCCGGCAGGACGGGGAGTAGTAGCGGCGCTGCAGGGCCAGGCGGCTGCCGTAGATGTCCGAGAAGCTCAGCTCTTCCTCCATGG